GAAGGAGAGCTAGAAAGAACAGGTCAAACTGTTTGCATTTATGAGATCTATAGTGGAGCTGGGGCATGGCCATTCTTGCACCATGGATCGTTGTACCGTGGGCTAAGTCTTGTGAGTTTCTCCTGATCCATATTTGACATTTTATCTTTTAATCAATCTTTATCTTCATCACCTTCTCATAAGTGTTTCTGTGATTGGGGAACTTTATACTTAACTGTTGGGTGTGATTTGATGAAGAGAAATCACTTTGCAAAAATTATTGTATAAATAATATATTTCTATGGTTCTTGATGAAAATGCTTTGATTTTTATTTTTTGTAATTATTGGGTAACTTTAGTCTTCTTGGAAAGGGTGGATAGAAGCATGATTGCTCAAGAGTGATGTGCAATTTTGCAACGCGAGGAAACTGTGTTCGGATAATAACTTCCTCACCATCATTGCTACCTCACCTCTATCCTTCCTTAATATAGTCTACTTTTTTAGAACTAGCTGATTTTTTGCATTTTCTGTACTGCTCCTTAGTCTCCTCTCCCCTTTTATTGGAGGAGCTTTCCTTTTTAGTTTGTCTGCCTACTGAAAAATGGTGTGAAATACTTTCTACATTTTGTAACTATTCATTTTATATGCCAGTCTAGAAGAGCAAGGAGGTTGACATCAGATGATGTGGATGCAGTTGGCCGACTTCCACTTTTGAATGATACTTACTATAGGGATTTATTATGTGAAGTTGGAGGAATATTCTCCATTGCAAATAGGGTGGATAGCATTCACAGGAGACCTTGGATTGGTTTTCAATCATGGCATGCTGCTGGTAGGAAGGTATTCCTTATATTGATATTTAATATGGCGTTCAACATGTTGAATATTAGCTGGAGTTTTATGAACCAATCCTTGTTTTCAATTATCTTTCTCTCTTTTCACTTTTTGGGTGGGTTGGGGGGGGAGTCATTCAACAGACTATAACGAAGAGACTTAATGGTAACTCTATCCTTTTAGATGTGCATTTGTGTGTCCTTTTTGGGAAAGAGGTAATGCGGGGAATTGGGTGATGGTTTGAAGGTGAACCAATCCCCATGAACCTCTTTTTCTGATGCCCTCCAGTCTGGAGGATTTTAGAGAACAGTATTCTGCTTGATGATTTCCATTTTACCCCTCTATTTATCTAAATAACTATCTTTAAGTTGCAATGATAATGGCTTAAGTTCACTTTACTTTCCACTACTCTCAAATATACAAATGGTGGTTTACTCTCATATACTACCATTTTTCCATTTGTTTACCGTCTTTTACCTTTAAACCATCCATTTTTGCTGCTGTTTTGGTACCTATTGCTTCAAGTGCACGAGTATCAGTTTTTAGAGTATTCAATTATTGACTTCTCAGTCTTTTTCATGAAATAGGTTTCATTGTCCACAGAAGCTGAAAAAGTTCTAGAAGAAACAATACAAAGAAGTAAAGGAGATGTAATGTACTTTTGGGCGCGCCTTGATTTTGATGGTGGAGGTGAAGGAAGCAATGATGCACTTTCATTTTGGTCGATGTGTGATATATTAAATGCTGGATACTGCAGGTTTGTTTCACCTAATATCAGTTGGATATTATGATTATTAAGCATAATAGATGATAGATTCATCTGTACTGTAACACCTTGCTTATGCCAGGATTTGCGCTTTAATTTTGTAAAAGTTGAGTGAGGGTGTTTTGCTTGCCATCTTTTCATGTTGTGGGTATAGAGTGATACAACTTCTCCCCTGCTTTCAGTTTCTTTGCTTTCCATTCCATTGGTCTTGTTTCTATTTTATTTACCTGCCAGGGCATAGAGATTATCTCTGCTATTTTAAGTTGCTTTCTCCCTGGTTTCTTCTTTCTGTTAGGATTTACTTCAAATAAAATGTGTCATTTTTTCTCTGCTTAAGCCATCATGGAACCATTTTGATTACTCTTTTAAATATGGCACCAAGGAAAACATCATTCTTCAGTTTTCACGATAAAAGCTGTATTTTCCTATTCTACGATGTATTTTATAAGACAAAAAAAAGATAGGTGGGATTGTGAAGAGGCAATCATTAGCTGTGATTTATCAGCTGTTAAGTCTGGTCTGATTAGGATTCAATGTTTTTCCTGAAAATGGACCAAGATCAGGTTCAATGGGTGACAAGATACACGATCATCATTGGCTGGGATTTACTTCGTGGCTGTTATATTCAAATATCAACAGTTGTTCATGAACCTGGCGGTCAGGTTTCATGGGCTTGGAGGTGACAGTTGATATAAGCCTTAGGAGAACCACACCCCAAAAGCTAATTTTTAGGATGGGAGATACTAGTTCCAAATAAACCTCGCAAGGAAGGGATTCAAGTCCCAGACCTTGCAGTTAGGATAATAAAAATCTAGGCATGCTCTGCAGTCCTGCCGCCTACATGGGCTATGGCTTTGTGCTGCTTATTCTAACCCCAGGCGAGCACTGTTTTTCTGGTCACCTTGTAGGCAGCATGATTGCATTTGAGGTATATGGTGGATAGCTCTGATACCTTTCACGAACCACACTTCAAAAGTTTGCTATTAAAGTGGGAGTGCTTGAGTCCATATAATCCCTAGGTGGAAACTCATACTTTCTGTGAAGGGACAGGGTCCACATATATTTGTGGTTGAGTTACCTTGACATGCAACTGCTTTGTGATTTAACTTGCAATAAATTTCTTATTATATGAAAACTATATGAGTCGCTTTGATGCTTAAAATGCCTGCAGAACTGCTTTTGAAAATGCCTACCGCAAGATGTATAACTTACCATCGGATATGGAAGCTCTTCCTCCCATGCCCCAAGATGAAAGTCACTGGTCTTCCTTACATAGCTGGGTGATGCCAACCAAGTCCTTTTTGGAGTTTGTTATGTTTTCACGGTAATTTATAAGTTCTCTACTCATTTTATTGCATTTTATCCAGTTGATGATGACTGAAAACTTGTATAATTTAACTGCAGGATGTTTGTTGATTCTCTTGATGCCTTGTATTCCAATTCTAGTGAGCCCAACATGTGTTTGTTGGGTTCAACATATCTCGAGGTAAGCTCTTTTGTTCCTGTAAGTGATTTAGATAGCAAGCCACAACATGATGCTTTGACCATTACTCTACAGTTTTGGCTCTCTCATCCACTGATATTCACTGTCAACAATGCATTATTCCTGCAACTGCGATAAACATGACTGCTTCGAGATTGCATCCGTGACCGCTATTTAGATCCTTGTTCCTATAATATTTATAGGTTCCATTTAGAGTCTAATCTAATGTTGTTCTTCTCGCTTTATTTAATAATGGCCAGAAAAAACAATGTTACTGTCGGGTATTGGAACTTTTGGTCAATGTTTGGGCTTACCATAGTGGGCGGAGGATGATCTTCATTGAGCCGCACTCTGGTTTGCTCGAAGAGCAGCATCCAGTCGAACAACGGAAAGAATTTATGTGGGCTAGATATTTTAATTTCACATTACTAAAGACCATGGATGAAGATCTAGCTGAGGCTGCAGATGATGATGACAATCCGAGGAAGATGTGGTTGTGGCCATTGACAGGAGAAGTACATTGGCAAGGAATTTATGAGAGGGAGAGGGAAGAAAGATATCGGTTGAAGATGGATAAAAAGAGGAAAACTAAAGAGAAACTGTTGGAAAGGATGAAGAATGGGTATAGGCAGAGACCACTTGGATTATAGGATACGTAGAAGCCAATTCAGATGTCAATTTTCTAAGTCTAACCTAGAATCACCAAACTCCTAACACGGATACCAAACCCCTTTGCCTTTTCTCAAACCGGGAAGCCGGAAAAAGTGTTTCAGGCAAGACAAGGCTAGTCAAATCTAACAGATTTGTTGGAGACATTTTATTCTTCCAATTCTTTTTTGAGAAGCAGAGGGGAACAAAAATAGCTTCCCGGTGTTTTCATGGTTCGCGAGTTATTCAAGCCAATTTACATGGTTATCTCCGGTGGCATAGTGTGGGTTTTTGGTTAACAGGGTGACGATTATGGTAATTCTTTTTCACACCACACAAGAACATTCAATTCAGTGATGCATCTTTTTTTCTCTCTTTTGTTTACCAACTTTGGGATCTTTCATAGGCAATTTTTATCAGATATGGTTTAGTTTCGACGGAGGCTTTGCTATTTGTTTACTTTGATAGCTTTTTAAAAGCAAATTTTATAATCGGATCCTTGAAGAAAGCATTTTCCATCCTGAAATTGGTTTCATTTAGGGTGTAAATCAGTAATTCTAACCAGCTACTGGGATTCAGTTCGAAAAAGATTTGAATTTTAGTTGTCAGTGTTGAGCTAAGTTTAAGCTCCAAGAATATGAGTTATTGAGTAAGCTTGAGTTTGTAGATCTAACCTGAGGATTGGTAATCAGTAGTGAAGAATCTGAGCTTGTTTTTGAGTTTGAAGTTCGCGCATGGGAATTATTATTATTTTTAAGTAAATTAATTTAATAGAAGTAAACGAGTTTAATCAAACAATTTTAAGAAATTTAATTTTTATTTACTACATCTCTCGTATTCCAAAACGACGACAAATCTTTTTCATATGGAGAACAGAGCACCACTAGCAACCCAAACCAAGGACATACCTGAACCTTAAACCCTTCTGATTATAAAGCTTGTTAGACAGTATCAAGGTTATACATGGTTTTTATTTGAGCCACGAGGCTGTTCTTTATAAAGCTAAGTAAAGCTTAGCAAAGGGAAGAACGACATGATTATCCACTTGCTTTTGTGGGTGTTCCCCTTTTAATTTCCACTTCAATTGGTTACTTTTTTGATGTGACCATGATATGAAGAACAAAAATACATGAGGTATGATCCTGTGTTGAGAAACCAAAATTCTCGAGAAACAAACAGCACAAAATAAACTCTGGCAAACTGATATTCTTCAATTACTTATGAAATGCTTTACAACTGGTTATTTATAAAGTCTACCAATATCAACAGTGTTACTGAGTCAACAGTAACAACAGTAACATTTCTGAGTGTATTAATCTTTGCCAATGTTGTTCAGAAGATATCTTTTGATATTATTGAGCTTCGAAACAACGTTCTTCATATCCATCCTATCTTCAGGTAAGTCGGTCGAACAATCCAAAGCCAATTCCATTATTGATGATATACAAATTGATTTAACACCAAAATATTCATCCTCCTCTTGCATCATGCAGGAATCCCCTACATTTATTCCACTAGATAATGACATTTTCACCCAATGCTTTATACTCATTTCTCCGGAAAAAATTTCATCGGTAGGCTTCCTCCTTGTGAAAGTTTCCATCAATAGAATGCCATAACTATACACATCACTCTTCATGGAAATAATTCCTGCTGATCCATATTCTGTATTTTAAACATTGAATTGAATCATTAAAATGGTATTATGCCGTTGGTGCATCACAATTCTTCAATAAAATGCTAATATCTATCAAAGTTGGAATATAGAAAGAAAGAAAGAAAAAATGAGAACATCACCTGGTGCCATGTATCCAATAGTGGCGAGTGTTATTGTTTGCTTGATGGAATCTCCTTCTCCCAATAGTTTAGCAATTCCAAAATCTCCCACATGCGCAACCATGTCTTCGTCCAACAAGACATTACTTGGTTTCAGGTCACAATGGATTACAGGAAAAAGACATCCAAAATGGAGATAGTCTAAGGCTGACGCAACATCAATCATTATGTTGATTCTTTGCAGGATGTCCAAAGAATGATTTTCGGAATATAGCCATTTCTCAAGGCTACCATTAGGCATGAACTCAAGCACCAAGGCTTTAAAATCAGCAGTAGAACAACAAGTAATGACCTTGACAAGATTGCGATGAAGGATGTTGCCCATCACTTCACATTCAACATCAAAACTCCTAAATGCTCCATCTAATTCCAAGTTGAAAACTTTTATTGCAACTTCCATCCCATCTGAAAGTATTCCTTTGTATACCGAGCCAAAACTTCCCGAACCAAGGAAGTTGCTTTCATTAAATCCACCCGTCCCTTCCAATAATTGGTGGTAAGAAATTCTTCTCCATTTGTTGAAAGGCACTACATCTTCTGCAGTCGTCAAGCTTGTACTCTTGCTTTGCCATTTTTTGTAGACAATTACAAAAGCTACAACTATGATAGTTGAACCACATATTGGCAAAACATATTTCAAAGCATGGAGAAGTGCCTTGTTGGATTGTCGATGAATGTCATTCTTGCAAGGTTGGACTTGTAATCTAGGTGAGCCACATAGTGCATAGTTTTTCATGAATGATTTGGCCGTGAAGTTTACAAAACACCCTCTATTTGGGATTTCACCTTCTAATCTGTTGAAAGACACATCCAAAAATTTGAGATGCGAAAGTCTTTCCAAAGATTTAGGAATTTCTCCGGAGAGGTTGTTATTAGATAAATCTAAACTTTTCAAACTCAACAAGCCACCTAATGATTCAGGAATAGGACCTTGAAATCGATTATGAGAAAGAAGTAGAACTTGCAGATCTTGGAGACTTCCAAGAGTGGGAGGAATATCACTTGAGAAAAAATTTCTTGACAAATTCAGACGTATAATTACCTTCAAATTCCCAATGTCAAGTGGAAGTGAACCATTAAAATAGTTGGATGACAAGTCTACTTGCAAGATATCACTCAAGCTCCAAAAACTTAAAGGTATTGATGAATGCAATTTGTTGGAGGAAAAATCTAGCACACTCAGAGAAATCAGATCGCCCAAACATACCGGTAAAGGTTCATCAAGATCATTCATAGCTAACAATAACTGCTGCAATCCCTTTAAGCCACAAAGTTCATGTGGGATAGAACCTTGCAGCTTATTTCCAGAAAAATCCAGAAATTGGAGGTTTTTTAGCCTTCCTATTTCTGCTGGAATAGATCCACCCAACTCATTGGTAGAAAGGTCTAATTCCATAATATTGTTTAGACTACCAATTTCCGTGGGAAGGTTGCCCCTAATTTTGCAAGCCCTGGCTTTAAAATGTTTAAGTGATATCGAGAGATTTGAGAGTGAAGTTGGAAGAATGTCATTCAACGGGTTAAATGATAAGTCTAGAATTCTCAAGTAGCTGCAATTTGCCAAAGAATAGAAAAAGCTCGACTCATGAACTGAAGGTTTGGTGGTCAAATGATTCGAATAAAGATATAATCCCTCGAGCAGTCTCAAATTGCCAAGTGCATTGGGAATTGGGCCAGAGAATGAGTTTGTATCTAATTCTAAGAATCTGAGCTTAGAAACATTGCAGATGGAATCTGGAATATTTCCGCTAAGAGTATTTCCCCATAGATAAAGCTTCTCAAGATTTGAAAGAGAACTCATGTCTGGTAATTTACCTAAAAGAGTTTGAATATATCAATATAAGAAATAAAATAATAGAATAAACGCTTTATTATTAATTACTTTTACAGTTCTGAATTAAAACTACTATTATCTTAGGACTTAACTTCAAACATAAAAATGAAGAAATGTTTGTATTGAGATACCTGATAAAGTATTGCTTTGGAGAGCAATTTTTTTCAAAGAAGAAATATTGAAGATGGAAGTCGGAATTGAACCAACAAGACTCATATGTCTGGCAGAAAGACGTACTAATCTCTCAAGTTTTCCAATTTCACATGGAATTTCACCTGCAAATTAAAAAGTAATAATTTAGTACCATATACCTGTTCAGGTGCAAAGTCAAAGGACAAAGACGAAACTGAGAGAAATTGGAGGAGATGCTTCTATATAAAAGCTGCCATTTTAAAAGCGGATTTTTTTCTCTCCTAATAGTCTAGGTGATAATAATGTACAAAAAAAAATAATAAGATAATAATTGTTTATAATTTACTTTTAGTAACCTATAACGTAAATACGCTTGCAGACTGTTGACACGAAATCAGTATGTTATTTACATCATTTTCTCTTTTTTTTTTTTTTTTTCTTCTTTCAAAAATAAAAATTTTACCATTTCATTCTTATATTATACCGGTGATATAATTATTATTCTCCGATTTCTTTTTCGATCACTTAATGTATTGACGAACTTATCTCATTGTCTCCCATTACTTTATTTGTTTATATTTTACCAAAATCACTTTAAAACTCATAAAATTCAACCATAAATTCAAAACTTGTGAAATCCAATTACTCTAATCTATAATATTCATCATCTGATCAGTGTGAAATCAAGATATATAGCTCGTTTCCTGCTTCTCCATCTTTTCATCATTGGTATTCGAAAAAAAGATACTTCATAATCAAGAAACTAAAAGAGAACTCAAAATTAGGAGTTTCACAAAAAAAAAATTGGGGTCATTTCATAACTTATAAAAGAAAAATATATAATCATAACATTATAAGTATCTAATAGTAGAGTGACTAAAATAAGAGTAAATTAAAAATATAGTAAGTAAATTTAAAAAGAAAATTTAATGATTAAAATAAAAAAGAAAAGAAATTTAAATAATAAAATTTATAATTTACCTTAAAATCAATTGTGGACTATATAACCTCAAATATATTGATCTATAAATATTTTAAACTGAATCAAATAATATTTAAATAAAAAAAATTGAATTTATCATGTGGACATGGTTATTAAATAGAATATTAATCTTTTTTAAAACTTTAGATTTGAACCGTTGTGTTTGTAGAATTATTGTAAAAATATATTCATATGAAAATTTGTTTTGACTGAACAAAAATAAAAAATCAAAGACAAAAATGTTACCTTCCAAATTATTATCACCCAAATATAGGTTTTTGAGTGTGGTGAGATTTCCAATACTCCTTGGAATGCTGCCACTGAATCTATTGGTGTGTAAACTTAACCCTCGAAGGTTCCTGCATTCATCTATTCTTACTGGAATTTGACCTGACAACTCATTTTCTTCCAAGTAAAGTGCCTCAAGATTGGGAAGATCTCCACATATATTTTCCGGCAAACTACCAGATAGATTATTGTGTGGAAGAGATATTATTTGCAGAGAGGACATACCATAAATGGCTTTAGGAATGGAACCTGAAAGTTGGTTATGAGCCAGGCGAAGTATCCTCAGATTCCCAAGTTTGCTTATCTCACGGGGAATGTTCCCATGGATGAGATTGTGGTTCAAGTCCAAGTTCTCCAAGCTGGACATGTTGGCTATTGATGGAGGGACTACGCCTGTCAAATTATTACTTCGAAGGATCAAATCTAAAGCTTTATCCAACCTTCCAAACCACAACGGGATTTCACCGTTAATGAAATTGGAGCTCAGGTCAATGTGCTTCAGACGACTCAGTTGTCCCAACTCAGTGGGTAAATGGTCGTGGAAATTGTTGTGACTCAAATTAAGAGAGACTAGGAACGATAGGTTTCCCAACTGTGGAGGGATGGTTCCGATAAGATCCATGTTGGAAAGATCCAATGCTCTGACTCGACCGTGCTTAACAGCGCAAGAGATGCCAACCCAGTTGCAGACGGAGTAATCGGTCGTCCAGTTGTTGGCCAACATGTTGTGAGAATCGATGATTTGGTGTTTAAATGCTAGAAGTGCATGCTGATCGGTGGTGAGGTTCCTCTTATTCATGGCGTAGCTAACCATGAAACACCGAATGAACATTAAAGCTGATGAAAGAAGATGGAATTTGGACATTTTGATGAGATTGGACAAGGGTTGTCGACAAGCATTGATTAAACAAATGAATGGCTCAATCTTTTTGTTAAGACAAGTCAACTCGTACTGGTCTTCACCATAAATAACTGCGTCCTTACTGGGTCTCTAATTTGCTACATACTTCCCACACGTCCAATTAGTTGAAATTTAAAGGATTGTTTTGGGAAGAATGTTAGACTGTTCTTCCTTTTCTTTTTCCAGTTATTTCTATTATTTTTTCTTTTAAAGGTTTAAGCCTTTACGTTCCAAATGGTGGTGATGGGTTTAAATTGAAGGAAGTGGTGGAATGAGTTGGGGAAGAAGACACGGAGGCTTTTCTGGAAATAAGGAAGAAGATTACGGTGAAGGTTTTTCCCAATTGTCTTTAACTAATTTTATGAATAAAAAATAAGATAAATTATATTATTTATCATTGATTATTTTTCAATTATATCTAAATTTAGATTTTTGCTTTAACTTAGTATTAATTTGATAACGGTATAATATGATTAGCAATTGTTGACGTAAGGAATTAATCGATCATTATCAATCATATTTTGAGGGAAATGAATATGATTGTTGATCAACTCGTAAAAATTCATCATGGTGCTAATATCCCTCAATTATTTACCAAAGTCCTCTTAGCATTCGGGATGAGTATTTCACTTAGACTCGATGGATTTTCATTTAATCTGACTTGATTGATTCAACTTTTTATTTTGAAAATTCGAGTTTAGATTAAATCGGGTTAAATTTAGATTTAGGATGAAAAAATTCATTTTGACTTGACATAATAATAGAATTAATTTATATATTTAGAGATAATTATAATAATATTTCTTTTTATATTATTATTATTTAATTAAATCTTTATTTTATTTAATAAAAATGAATTATATATATAGATCGGGTATAGATTTTAATATAAAAAATTAGGATAGATGAACTCTCCTAAACTCGGGTCGGATTCGAGTGGATAGGTAAAATAACTAAGAGTACTAGAGTGCGAAAATATATATAGATGAAAAAAAAAATTCTTGATAAGATATATATAATAGGATTAGGGTGTGCGGGTGAGCAAAACTCGACTCAACTAGGAATTTGATTTTTTTTCTATTCAACTCGATTTGAAAAAACTCAACTTAAATTGGCTTTGAGTTGTATTTTCATAAACTCGACTCGGTTCGAAAAATTTTCAAGTTTAAATCAAGTTATAAAATACAACTTGAATAACTCAAAATTTTGAGTAATTAGTAGATTTATTTTCAAGTTTGAGTCGAATCCCTTGACTCTGTATGATATATCATATATATATATATATATCACTTATGAAAAAAATATATGAAGAAATATATATGTATTGTATATTATTATAAAAAAAAATATTTAAATTAGAATCAAGTAATCATAATATTATAAATATTTACAATTAAATTTAAACAAAAATTCGACTCGACTAAAATTTTATAAATTCAAATAGACTTGAAATTTTTTTAAATCAAATTCGAGTTACAATATATAACTCATCAACTTGATTAACTTAAATATTTTTACTCAACTAGATTAACCCTACTAAAACGATTCCTTAATTCCTTACTTATCGTAAATACGTATAGATCGGGCGCGAATTTTGATCTCAACAAAGTCTTGTATTCTTTTGTCAAGACTACGATTGATAAGATGTGGGGTGACAAAATCTTCTAGTCCAAAATTCTACCCCATATCAGAAGCAAAACAGAAGAATCATATATTATTAAATTCCAAAATTTTCCCTTATTTTTAGTTTTATAAATTTTAAAAACCATAACCAACAGTGGCATATATCTATAAAAGTTGGCACATATAAAAAATAAAAATGAGATCATCACCTGGTGCCATGTATCCAACAGTGGCGAGTGCCATTGTTTGCTTGATGGAATCTCCTCCCAATAGTTAAGCAAAAATAAAAACTATGGCAAAGAGGACAAAATGAAAAGATAAATATATTCATGGACGTTTTCTAAAATTAAACTTACATATTTTACTTAGAAATATGAAATTATGTTTATATTATAATTTAATTTTTAGTTTAATAATGATTTAAATATTTTATAATTAAATATATTTTATATTTTTAATTGAAAATTATTGAATAAAAAAGGAAGATAACAAAAATAAATAGAATAATACTAATAAGGGGTGAATTTATCTTGTTATTTAAAATTCAATTAATTAACATTTTATGGGGTTAGTGGATTTTTCATCAAACCTCAGGGGATAAATGTCCATTTTTCAAATTATAGGGGGTCAAGTGAATTTTCTATCAAACTTTGGATTTAAATAATTTTCCTCAAAAATTCTCAAATGTTGAAAAATCAATAGAATGGAATAATAAGTAGTTAATAAAGGATCATTTTTATTTAAAATTAAGCCAATAAATAAACTATAGAAGAATTAATGTATATTTTTACCAAGCCTCAAGAGAATAAGTAGACATTTTTCAAATCATAAGAAGGCATGTGGAATATTTTACAAGATACAATTTATTTAATAGTGTTCAGAGTAAGAAATAATATTATGGCATGCAATAATAAAATCCAATTTTAAAGACAATTACTTCTGAATTGATATTTTGCTAATTATTTGATTTTTTAACTATTTTTTGGGTTAAAAAAATATTAAATAACAAAAAGTACCTTAGAAATAAAAAACTCAACTAATTTGATTGCAAAATTAGCTAGTAAAATGCGCACCTTATTCCAAAAATTAAACTTTCCTTTTTGTTGCACTTGTTGTCCCAGCTTATATAATGCTTGTGATCTACTCGCTCGAACCCAATTGTAGGTAAAAGCAAAGTTACATGGAATTCTGGAACCCAATTGTGGATCAGCTAACATCCTTAAGCTACACTACAAGTCTCTCTGGATCAGCATCTGTAACATCCTCAATACCGGGTTAGTGACCAAATTATAAAATTTCAGAAATTGGTGATTAAAGTAGGATAATTGAATAGTTCAATGATTTATTGGAAATATGATGAAGGTTATTCAGTAATTATTAAAGGAAATAAAGGGTAAATTGGTCATTTGACTAGAAAGATTTTTATCTTTCTTTTAGGGTTATAAAACACGTGGAAGGGTGATAAGAAAAGAAAAGTCTGGAGCTTGGGTTATCTTCTTCCTCTTCTCTTCCCGTAAGCTCCATGGCAAAGGTAAGTTTAATTTCAGTTGGTTAATTCTTTAGTTTTAAGCTTAGTTTTGATTCTTGGGGTGCTAAGAAAGATTATTTAGATATTAAAGTATGTTGAGACTTCAAAATGGATGAGTTAGGGAGGATTAAATATGAAGAGTTTTTAAGAGAATTATTGAAATAAAAGGAGTAAATAGATTTTGAAGATGGATTTGACTTGTCAAGGGTATAATTAAGAAGCTAGAAGCAATAGAATTGAATTTGGAACATGTTGAAAATTTAGTGTAATTCTTGAATTTCATATGGAGAATAGGATTTTGATGTTAAAGAGGTGATTAATGAATAGGAATGAGTTTGAATATGAGTATTAAGTTAAAAATAAGAAAGGGGATGATATATGAAGTATTAAGCTGAAAAGAGTGGATTTTCGGGCATAAAAGAGGATTCTGGGCAGAGTGCATCGATACACATTCATAGTGCATCGATGCATCAAGGTTAAAACCCAGAAATTATTTAAAGGTGCATCGATGCATTGGTAATGCATCGATGCACTCTTTTAAAATAGAAACATCGAATGCAATTAGTGCATCGATGCATAAGGCATGCATCGATGCATCCCAATAATAATACAACATCGAATGCATTTTATACATCGATGCATCAGTAGTGCATCGATGCATACCTTCATTAAAAGATGAAATTGGCTTTTCTCTGAGCCTAAGGAGTGATAGTTTCGAATATATCAATCAGTATATTGATAAGTATTAATGTATTATTATGTAGATATAGAATGAAAGCTTGTTCCGGAACAAACTAAGGATTAGGATTGATTCAAACAACGAGGCCCAGGTGAGTGCATCTTATTGTATAAGATTATATGGAAATTGGACTTGTGATAAGTCTATTCCTATAGTAATAGCTCATTAAGTCTTGATTATAAGTATGTTAACGATATGAAGTGTATGTATGTTTGATTATATGAATTGATAGGTTTTGTTTTGTATGTGCTATGTGGTTTATGTAAAAATACGGTTAAGTGTTAATGAGAGAATATAAAATAAGTTATGAAATTATATGAATATAGAAGATAAGTCAAGAGATGTAGGGAAATGGAAATAGATGTTTATAAAGAGTCATAGGAGAACAAATATAAGTAATATGATAATGAAATATAAGACTATGTGAATACATGATTATGAGATAAAAGATGTAAGAATAGGAAAATATGATGAGAGTGAGTTCATGAGAAGTGATATGAACTAGGTAAACATGAGTTGGACAAGTACATAGTGATATGATCCATCATGGGAATTAGTATAATAGAGATTTTGATTTAATGAGAGTTAAGGGACGATAGGAATATGCAAGATAAGTTATATGTTAAATATCTATGGAGCTATATGAAAAAGATTATAATGAAATTATGAAATTGAATTAAATAAATAGATTAAATTATTACCTAAATAAAAATACTATTAAATGATATATATATTTAGAACTACGATATAAGCTATGTGAAAGTGTTATATGTGTTTCTATATGTTATAGGAAGTATATGATCATATGTGAACAAGATATGATAAGTATGTTTACATGAATAAATGTGATTGGGGAGAAATGATAGAAATTATATGAAAACAGGTATATGTGAATTAGCTTTGTAATTAGGTAAGTATATGAAATCATAACTATGAATTATGTGATGTGAAAGTAATCTATGTGATTATATGTTATATGAATACAAGAGCATGAGATATGTGACCTGT